CTGCTTATATATGCCGCTTGTGTGTGAAATGTGTGATGAATGAATATGTTATATGTTTTCGTGCGCGCGCGTATACTTTTTCCCGCTTGATAAATTTCACGGTATATTTGTTTGAAGCAACACAAATTAAACTTTCCATCATAAATTGTTTCCAACTTGTGTTTATCTTTCTGTTTGTCATTAAATAATTTTTATTTTCGCACGGTTATTATCGTCTAGATTTCGTAAATCTGCGTTGGTATGCGGAAGAGCAGGAAGTCAGATGAATATACTTGTTCCTCCGTGTTAACAGCTGCTTGGAAGCCAAACTCCAGTACAAGTACAGTACAAATACTCGCTCGAAAATTATTTGCCAAACCAATTTTTCGATCCATCGAAAAATTTGTTTCTGCAATTTTACGCCAATTTTGAATCTTCGCATATAAGTGTTGAAAAAAATTAGAAAAAATTGTAAGATGAGATATGCAGTGCGGTCGGTTTCCTTCCGGAAACCGGGGAGCTGATACCGCCCCGAATCAAGCTCGTCGGATCGCTCGGGAACGTATTTCCGGCGGAAATCGGAGATCGATCATCCGACCGGCTCGTTTTTCGCCATTTTCGCTGGCAGCTGTTCACGGTTCGCGCCCGCGTGCACCCTGATTGCGAGAATGAACGATGTCACTCCCCGGCCGCGGTGGCATTGTAATAATACCGTGTACACGCCAAAAAGTAATTTCGTAATACGATCCGTCGGACGGGGCAGCCTGGCGATACAGAGCGTGTACGCGATGAAATTGTTATCGGCCGGAAGTACATCTGACATTTGGCACCGTTACGACTATTATTTAATGCGCAGCACGGAATTCTGCGTCAACTGCGCGCGCGGCCTGCGAATGATAAATATAATTAACGCTCGTATTCGGGAGGCCCACTCGTATAACCGCCATGCGAGAGCCGCGTCGCGTTACAATTATAATTCTCCGGTACGGTCGTTAACCCCGTGTTGCACCGCGCACACAGGATAAAAAGTCGCGGAAAAGTCGCGGAATCCATGGATATCGGATGCGTGAATCGAGAAGGATATAATTCTTTTCAAGTTTACGCATTGATATTTCTTCGATTAAAAGTGAGATCAGGGATCCGGGGATTTTTGTAAATTTATTTTCGAAAATGTGAATAAATAGCAAAACTTTATTATTATTTCTTATTTAATTTTAAGAAAATTTTAATTGAATTTTACGAGAGTCAGGAGTATAGTCAAAATCGTTATAAAGATGATTGATGTACTGTGAATCCAAGAGTCATTTTCCTTTTTATTCGTAGTTATATTTAATGTTCGCCAGAGGATAGATTTTCGCGAGGCCAAAGTGAATGCGCGACACAGATGACGTCGGTCGCGCTAGTGTAAGCATAATGCATTGCCGGCTAGAAAAGTAAGTTGTAACACGCCGGCGGACTGGTCCGCGCGCGAAGTATGAAAATACGTGAGACTTATGAGACTTCGCAGTGTTCCGAAGTTTCTATTACGTCAATTCGGAGAGAGAGTTGCAGGGAAAAACTATTTTCAAAACTTCGTCCACCGGAAGGCGAAAACTTCGTCCGCCTTCCGTCTGCCGTAACAGCGAGTCACGCGTCCGATGCGTAAAGGGACGAATTTGTCACGCGAATATACGGCTAACACACCGATAAAAGTTGACACTTTTGTATGACAAAATGTGACGTATTCGTCATTCAATATGATTTGAAAGCTTAGCATCGCGCTCTATACACATCGAATGAACGTTAGGTTGTTATTAAAAAAAAGTCATATTTACTTTACATATTTATACGTATACATTACTTTACATATTTATACATATTTATACGCTGTAAAATTTATTAATTAATCTATTCCGAAATTAACATAAAAGAATGATAAAAATTATTTGAGTTCCCGAGCGATGAGCTCAATCTCGAAAAGGCAATTTTGAGGCAACTTTTAGGCAATTTTAAGTTGTTTTTTTTTTTAGCGAGATACATATATTTCGAATTACATGTGAGAGTGAGTCTCGTCCAAGAGTGCTGAACAAGAAGGTGGCGGAATAAGGGCTTCTCCGTGATAGCGTTGCAAGTCGGAAAAGTAAGTTCGCGGCGCAGCGCAGCGCGTCGCGGCAGACGACCACAAGATCCGAGAGAGATATCGTTAGAATTATGATCCCCCGGAGATACGAGTCGGCCTCTAGAAACGGAGATGACGGCGGGAGATGGTGTAACTTCGCGACATCGGCTTCAGTACTTTCCTGACTAAATAATTCTCTCGGCTTCCGATAACAGACTGCGGTATATCTGTCGCGAAAAACTACTTCTCGGCAATTACGAGCGGCATATATCGGCCGCCGGCCTGCACATCCCTATTCCCTGAATTATATCGATGAAATATACACGGTGTCTCCGACACAGCACGGCTTTTCCCTCGGCTGGAAATTTTTCGCAGTGATATTCGCAGGACAAAGGTTTCTCGTCCTTTTCTAGATTTGTAAAAAGCAAACTGCAAATTGAATTTCCGTTGAAAATCTTTCGAGTTATGTTCGAAAAATAAATTAAGATAAAAATAATTAAAAAGCATACTTCAGCTCAATGTAGATATCTCTTTTAATGAATTATACTTACATTTAAAAAAAAATGCAAATATTATACAATTTCTTAAAAATTTCTTAAATCTTCGGTGATCTGTACGTCAGAAGTCACTTGTGTCTTGATACTATAACAAAGTAATGCTTCTTACAAATACATTAGTCGCAATTAAGATGCGCGACACCAAGACACCATGTATACGGTCCTTGTGAATCATATCTCTCTTTCCTTCTAATCAGATCGAAGATAACGCCGCCGTTTCCATTACGGTATGTCCCGATTGTAATGGCTCCTCGGAACACTCAGATCGCCGTAATTTGATCTCCGTTTTAAGATAAGAACCGTATTAACTGCGCGATGGCGTAAGCCATCGTTCCATCTTCCGTACGCGAACACTTTTCGTTGTAAGCACGCGGTTGGACAGGATATGGTGGGACAATGTGATTCTATCGCATTACCGACATTATTAACATTCTGATCACTCGCATAATGTGTTATGATCACTCTCATTTTATGATAATTATGCCTAATTAGATTTCCTTTCCTACCTGCGTCGTAGCTGGAGCTATTATTTGTTGAGTAAAGAGACAATCAAGTAAAGTCAATTCTGATTGTAGACGGAATTACATCAAACTTGATCATTGTATAATAAATGAAGAATACGTTTCACAAAATTAATCTCTGAATTTTAGATTCGTGAAATGTATCTTCTAGGCTTAGATTTATCTTATTCAGATAATATCTTTTTCAATCATGTTTGAGATGAGATAAAAAAAATTCTTTAATTCCGTCCTTTTCTTTTCTTTAATATGATTTTCTTAACTGTGATATTTTTTTTTTCAGAAAGCTAATGCGATGTGTCAAATGGCTAATATATATTTTTTAAATCTTTGGATTTGATCTAAGAATAATGCCGCTGAGTACTTGAGAAGAAGTAAAGTAAATTGGATGTTGGATTATAAAAAAATTTTTAAACCTCGTGATATTCGTTCAGACAATTAACTCACATTAACTGTCGTAGATGCGCGAGACAATTGCGCGTGAATGCGCACCTGGTACGTCGCGGAGTGTCGGTGTAACACGAAACCGTAGTTAATGTCACACGTTCAATATTGATGCGTCGGCGGTGCTCGGTGGCCGGCTGGCGCGCACTCGCGGATAATTTGTAAATGCAAAAAGAAACACAAGCGCGGCCGGCGGAAACGCTCCCGGGTGTGTAGCTAGAAGGTGGATGCGTTTTATACGATGTTAAATTTCGCGCGACGGTCCTACATGCTCTCCGACTCTTTGCTCCCCTGTCCTCTCTTTCGTCTGTCTTCTATCTTCTTTTATCTTCGGGGAAAAAAGTGTATTTTTCACACTCGTTAATTCACGGGGGAAAAATTTTTTTTCACACTGTCTGGCCGAATTTTCGACCGATCGATATAATTTGCGCAATCTCGCCTGGCTGATGCGATAAATTAATACCCCTTTCCTCTCCCCCCTCCCCCCCGATCTCCCTCCTCCCATAGGTTTTATCTGTGACACTCCTGAAGCATCACGGACGACCGCCGACAGGCGCGGCCCTGAACGGAAGGGAGCGTCGGGGCCGCGCCCAAAATTGATGATTAATTCAAAACCACCGCGGGGGCTGCAACTGAATTTGAGCGAGGCAAATAACGGGGCACAAGCGGCGCGAGTGACAGGAGAGTTAGGGCTGGTGTGCTGCAACATCGAAGAGAGGAAGGGGAAGCAAGGGGGATAGGATACGCAGGGGGATGGACGCGGCGCGGCGGTGCATCAGGTTGATTCGCGGGCTGTAGCTGTAAACACGAATAATGGAGAGTACCGATCGGTAAATTGTGTGCTCGAGTCCGTTGAGGGTGGTTGCGCGAGCGCGACCGTCCTCCCCCGTCGTCCGTTTGCTGTTCGCGCGTCATTCCGCCCCCTTTATCCTCTCTTTATCCGTTGTCATTGCGAGCTTTTTTGTTCTACAGTCCTACAATCACGGCGCATCTCGCGGCGATTACGCACGTGTATTTGCTCGCTGACCGGCCGACGCGATACGCACTTTTGTCAAACGTGGGATCTCCGAAATCGTCATTTCGATTTGAATGACAAATTTGATCTGATCGATCGGTGTTGAACCGCGATGTCCGAGACTCTCCTCCGCGGATTAGACACAAATAAAAATGGACACTGCTTCCTACGAGAGTTTCAATCATTCCTTTAACGGGGGGGGGGGGTGTATTGTTCCTTTCCAATATTTAATAATTTCCATATATCTGAATCTGAATGCAGCGCACGCAATATAAAAGGAATAAATAAAAGAGGCGGATCGTCTCTTTTTTGCGTTGAAAAGAAAGAAAAACGAAAGAAGCGCATGCATCAAGTATCTACTTCACCGAAGTATCCTTCTCTGCTTTCAGTTACCGTGAGAACGCCCAGAGGCTTTCGAAAGCTTACCGTGATCGACCTGCCGCGCCGTTGGAGACAGCGGTATGGTGGACGGAATACATCGCTCGGGGCAACGGCGCACCTTACTTCCGCAGTGATAGTATAGATATGTCCTGGTACCAGAGTTATTTAATCGACGTCGCGCTCGTTTTGATTATCTCCTTTGCGGTGCTCATCTACGTTCTCTTCCGGTTGACCAAGTTGCTGCTGTCATTGCTCAAAGAAACGCCCGGAAGCCAGGTTGAAAAGAAGAAGAAGAAGAAGGAGAATTGACGACCATATCGCCACGCCAAAAAAATAATTTCAAGATGGAAAATAGCGAAGAACGAACGCGATGTATGTATAAGAAATGTCCGGGTGTTCGGATTACGAGTTTTCAACGATGAAGACGGAATAATCAATCATCGGACAGAAACAAATTGATCAACGTGAAAAATCCGTTTGTCAGAAAATCTGTTAGTGGAAGGAGATTCTGGCAATCGTTTGTCATTCGTTTGTTCCTTTTTTGTAATGCCCGATTCGAATGTTTCATGGATAGATTTTTATCTTTTCGATATTTCTATGTAAAGAAGTATGTTACAGCTCGTGTATGTCGGCTGGTTTTAGCTTAATTGTTATCGGCAATTTCCGGAAAGGAGCAGATCTTAAAAGTGGTGTGGAACAAAGTCGTTTAATTCCTGGATAGTTTGCAGTATTTTATGATATCTAAGTATAACCGTTAACTGAAACTCGTCCGAACAACGCGCAGATGGTGTAAAACTTATAGTTTGCCAGTTTCTGTTTTTTTTATACTTTCTTCCATTTTACGGAAAAGACGGCGGAACTATCCTTCATGTTCTGTCGACTTGCGTCGCATAAAGCGTTTGTTCCTTCGTTCCGCTGCACCCAAAGTTAAAGTTCATTATTTTTATCGCGGTGTGCAATGTGATCAATGTAGGAAAATTCTTCTTATCTTATATTAAAAATTAGAAAGAATATATAAATTTCGAATTATATGACGATATATATATATATTTCAAATTATACTATATAGTGATGAGAAATATATAGTATTTACATTTTATGATTGTTTTTAATACAAATTTAACAAGAAATATGTATGTACAAGGTATGTATGGTCGCGGCTGAGTTTAGTATTTGTGTGTGTGTGTAAATTCATAAAAATAATCATTTTATAAGCATCAAGATCTAGCCGTACACATCTTATATATTTCTTGTTAAATAAATAAAACTTTCCCTTATTGAATTATATATATATATATGGGGAGTTTTATTTCTGTTATTTTATATTCTGTTATCACGTCTGTTATGAATTTGCGATGTAACTAATTAAAGTTGGAACTATATATTTTTTTTAATATCTCGGCACTTAAATAAATAATAAATTAAAAATCTATCTACAATAGAAATAAATCTTATTGTAATAAATATCATCTCAATCAGGACTTAAAATCTCCTGATTTTCCGAATTTTTATCAGTTCTTTATATATAATATATAATATATATTAAAAATAAATGTAAATGTATATGTTATCATATAGTTATGTTACTATGATTGAATTATTTAAAAATGCTTACTTGTCTTGATTAAAATTATTTTGATGGCAATAGAATTCTTAAACATTTGTTAATTAATTTCAAATAGATAGAGAAAATTTGTAATAATTAAATTATAATTTATTATTCTTTCTTCTATATTATTTATTACCAGCTCTGACAAGGATTTAGAGAGGGTTAGATATATTAAAGGGAAACATTAGGGAGAGAAAGAGAAGCAGGAAACAATAGATGAAAGAGAAAGCGAAAGGGACGATATAACGGAATGTAGAGAGGAAGCAGAGACAGAGGGTGGAAGGGGGGAGGGAGAGAGGGAGAGAGAGAGAGAGAGAGAGAGAGAGAGAGAGAGAGAGAGAGAGAGAGAGAGAGAGAGAGAGAGAGAGAGAGAGAGAGAGAGAGAGAGAGAGAGAGAGAGAGAGAGAGAGAGAGAGAGAGAGAGAGAGAGAGAGAGAGAGTAGAGAGAGAGAGAGAGAGAGAAGCACTGGAAAATCACGAGAGAGAAGCGAGAACAACGGTGGAAGGGAAAGGGGAATGGAAATGCCGCGAGAGCACGGTAGAGAAACATACGAGAGTGAGGCAGCTTTGCGGGCATTAAGGGGTATTTCCCAGGTGGCCGTGTCTCCCACTGCGTCAACCGGCTTCCGCCCCCGGTTGCAGCGCAGCGGCAGCGGCAACGGCAAGCAAGAACCACGTCGGGGACTGTCGAGTTTACGGTGGTGGCGGTCGTCGTTCGCAGTGATGCCGCCGCTCTTCTCGTACCACCTGGCTGCAGGCACAGCGACAAGCGAACCTGGTCCCGGCGACACGCTTTCCGCCGATATAGGGAGACCGAAAAGTCCACGATTTCTCCTTAGACGATTTTTGTTTGGTGCGCCAGATTTGAAGATTAATAACGCGATTAACAATGGACTTTCTTTTAATCGGTTTGCATTAATAAATCCGCGATACACGAGCTATTTCAACAATTCTAATTAACGCTTGATTTCACCAAGGTATTTAATATTGGGGAATTGAAACATTGCGATGAGAAATAGCATCCGATGAAATATTCATCGGGGAGAAATAAAATTTATATTCATCGAGGAATCTCACGTTTGCGTGATTTCACGACCACCCTGTACAACCGTGCGAGAAGCGACAATGGCAGTCGCTCTACGGGGGAACGGCTTCGACGGCGACGCGACAAAGATGGATCGCGCGAGACATCGCGCTGGATTAAACACGATTCACCTCGGATCTCGGCGTACTCCACCGCTTCCGTTTCTCCGCTTCTCCGCGGAGGCGGCTCTCTTGCCTTATCCCTTATCCCTGAAAGCGTCCTCGTAAAGATAGGCGAGACGATAAATACCGATTTTCAGTAATGCTGGTTCACGCGCGACGATAATCACCCACTGAGATATTGAGGATATAATCTGATTATCCGAACATTTTTTTCGGATGTCTACATTCAGACAAAATTTTATGCTCCGAGACCATTGCATTTTTATTTATCCATAGCTTCTAATTAATTTTATATCGATCTTTGCCCGGAGAAAAAATGTGATTTAATGACACATTTGTCGCTGACATTTCAACTTCTAATTTTAAACGGGATAACTATTTAAGTTTGTAAAATTATTCAGTTTTCGCGCGGCATTGCATGACACGGAATATACCAATCATAATTAACTTTGCTTGACATCAAATTGCAAATAAAAATAATTTATAGTACTTTAGCTTCGACCATTTCTTTAAATTATCCAAACTGTGCGCTGATTCTACTTTTAATAAAACTGAAATAACAAATACTGTATATCGATCATACGTTTTTGCCCTCTTCATGACTATTATATCTCTACATATCCCTAGATTTTCTTCGTCAGTTGGAAATTTCTTGGTTGCACAAGTTCCCTTCTTTAATCCGGAGAAGTGCATTCTAGTTTTCAGAGCGTGCATCTCCGCGAATATCGTACTTTGTCTTAGTCCTCAACTTGACGAAATTATAAAACTGTGAGAACTTAAATTACATTAAAACAAAAGAGATTTGTGTGTAGAGGAAGTACGATAAATTTCATGAACAGAAGAAGATACCGAGCCACTTGATTATAATCGTTCTGGAAGAAATATTTGCGATGACAATTTGGAAAAAGTATATATAAGTATATTATATGCGCGATTAAGAAACGAATCTTGATGAATGAGATATAAATGTCTAGACCGAATGAGAATTAGACACGCGATTCACAGAAAGCATCGCTGAATTGGGTTTAATCATTGTGTTGCGATCATCGTATTCGTTATTTCGGTTGACATGCCGTTGCCATACTTGAAGACATGACGTTTGACATTCACGAGAGAACAACGAGTCGTCAATCATAAATTTCATGATTCTTCGGGACAAAGCGTCGCGTTGCGATGCTTTCATCTCGCTCGGCTTGGACTTTTGCACGTGACGTTCAAAAACCCCTTAAAATGCAGGCGACACTTTAATCGAATCACCCAGAGTGGTGTGCCGCAGACGTGCGGCGATTGCCGGAACGGCCTGCACCTGTGCGGCGACTGAATGGCGTTTTTCGACGGCATGAAAGAACACTTTGCGACGTACGCGGTCCAATTTGTTCTTTACCGTCCACCTTCGATAATCCTGGCGACGTTTGCATAAGATGAAGCCGGTAAAACGGAGACTTTGTGCCAGCTGTATCAGCGATTCCATCATTATTCCTTTTGACATTTTTACATATTTTGCTCGCAATTTTCATTTTGTAAAAATCCAAAAGGAACTTTTACGAATTTATTCAATAGAAAAATTTCATTTGCCGTCAAACTTTGCGTTTGTCTGTGCTTTGAATAGAGCTTAAAAATATTATTTTTTGTGCCAAAAGATACCTAGAGAGATTTTATCAAAGGGACGCCTGAAAAAAAACGTAGTATAAAAGAGAGACAAATTTTAATTTTATCATGGCTCATAACACCACGGTGTAATAATTGTAAGAATTCGTTAGTCTTGTGTAACCATTGAAAGACTGAATGAGAGCATATTTTCCCTATTCATCTTTATGCTTTGACACGCCGTCTATATTCGCTATGCTTAAAATGCTCGTAAAAGATGCTCGACGTTTCAATGGACTCACAGTGAATACCATCTAACAAAATGCTCCGTGCGATTGCGGTATATGGACCAGCTGGCGTGCAGATAATTTCTGAACGGAACGAAACGGAATAGTAATGTCAAGTCTCTTTTCAATTTATATCCGTCAACGGAGGAAAAATAACTAATCACAAAGAATTTATGCAAGAAAAGTAGCATTTTAGCTATAAAAGAAAAAAAAGGATTATTTATTCTCTCGCAATATAACAGCATTATAAATTATTTTGATTTAAAAAAATCTCTAATAATGCTTTTCATAACATGTATTTAGATTCTTAATTTTGATGTACAAGAACTGTCATATATTTCAAATATTATTATTCTTATAATTGTTAACTATTATCAGCGGCTTTTATATTTTGATTAAGCAGATATTGACTTTATCTCAATACAATTTATCAATGGCCAAAATTTTGTAAAATAAATTCAATTTAGCATTATTTTGACTGTATTATCCGCTATTAAACTTTGTTTATTTATTGTGCTTTATTTATTTATTTGTTTAATATTATATTTTCATTATTAATTACATGAAAAGCTAGCCAAATTTATTATTAACTCTGATATCCGCGTTTGACTGAAGAAAACTTTGTGATGCTAAAATGTTTTGATGATATATTATTTACTTTAAAATATTTTTTAAATAATTTTAAATTAATTCAACATCTTTATTATTTGCCTTTAAAAATTTTACACTTTTTAAAAAAATAACAAGTATAACGTGGTATAATTTAAGAAATAAAAATAAAAATCAAAGAATAAAAATATAATTATAATAATAAAATTTTATATATAAATTAATATACATAAATAAAATTACAATTTTAGTCTTTTATATGATGCGCTATGATATTTTCTTCATAATCAAGTTAATGAAATCTTGTAATGCATTTTTTTTTATAATTTTGCATTCTCGCCGGCGGAATTTTAAAAATATACGTGTAAAGTAGCGTGCTTTATTGGAAGTATATGCTGAAAAAATTTTATGAATAATTGTATAATATCTTGTTTAAGCGGGGAAGTTATGCTATCGTGTAATCATCACGACACGCAGTAGTGAAAAATTTCAATGCCGGGTTTTACACTTCTCGTCGCTATTGTCGCTGTATACGTTCGCCGTTAATTCATCCTGATAAAATTATAGATAACACTTAACTTCGTGTTTTTCAACCGCTCTATGTTACAATAACAAAACTCTTCGCGTATACAGGTGCACGAAACCTTTCGTGACTTGGGATAAGAATAGACTGGATAAAAACGGTAGTAACTTTTCGCTTTATCCGTCGTTAGGTTTTAATTTTGAAGTTAG